CAATACAGAAATTTCTTGCATTCCATCACAATGATCTGACATCACTTTCTCTAGTCGTCATTATTATGTTGGTCCGACAGAATGAATAGGACTTCGTTTAGATGTTACATTTTCTTATTGAACTATGATGAAATCGTCTAACAGAAGTTTTATTACAATGAAATTCAAGTGTAAAAGTATAAATGCTGAAATCCCATCTAAACAGTTTGTGCCATTTTGATTTGAATCAATCAAATAGAAACAATACACTATTGACAGTCTATAAAGAGGTCTTTGCAGGTAACAAACTGCTTGTTCATTTTCTTGAGTAGCAAGTTAATCAACCATGTATTACGAAGTACGGTTAATCACATTCAAGAGCAGTTTCATCAACACGGGTCAGGAACATAAAACAACGGTGGATAAACTCCAGCTCAGGTTCTCAATAGATAGAAGAATATTGAATAACGATCAGTTATTCCACCACCATGATTGGTCAATAATGAACGTAATGAACGAAATTTGACCTTCATGGTCACTTTGAATCATCAAATCAGAATAAAACAATCAAACACTCAATAAATCTATATATACCAGACAATTTTTAGTGAAAATTCATTAACTGCTTTGAACAAGATGATGAGGTGAGTGTTAGCTGAACACAAGAGGTCAATGAGTGTATCGTATAAATTGAAATTTGATTCCATGTGATAACGTTCTTTTATTCACCTGAACCATTTCAGATTCAATTCTCCATATGATCTGTTCATACGAATTTCTTTGATCTTGAACGCATTTTCCGTGTTGTGTAACTGTGATGAAATCTGTAAACATCCAGATTGGAAGAACTTTACAAAAGTGATTTTTGTGAATGAATCATATCGATATGTAAGTAATCAGTCAGATTCTAATAGACATATACAGTCACATCATTATTATTACTCACAAACCATTAATCTCAATCAGCCTCGTCCATTTGTGAATGGTAGTTTTAGTGAGTACAATGAGATTGAAGTGAGTTAGTTACATTTTGTAGTTGAGGCACTATCCACTTATTTACACCCTTTAGCCTATTAAACCAGAATTCTCGTTAAAATTTTTTGAAAGTCAAGTCAGTAAATTTGAATTTTTGTCTACTGGTAAGTCCATAATTTTCTTTGAATTAAAATTGTTATTGAATTTACTTGATCACCAATTAATCGCATGAATCAAAGTGGATTCAATTTCTTCAATGAATCAGTTGCATGCTCCTTATGAAGCGCCGATTTCTTCAATGAATCAGTTGCATGCTCCTTATGACGCGCCGATTTCTTCAATGAATCACTTACATGCTCCATGTTACATGTCCAACTTAGGCAATTTATATTTTATTCATTCCATGTGAAATTATCAATCAAATTGTATGTTTTCATTCACAAAAATATAGGGTATTTAGATATATATAAAAACGACAAGATAATTGGACAAATCTTGAATAATTTAGGAAGATTATTGTCAGGTCATCTTTTGAATGAGAGTGAGTTTCTTGAATTATTCAGTCGTAGTTTGTTTTGTTTAATGTTCTCAAATACATTTTGCACATATGGAATCTCAACGACCCAACATTTCTCAATAAAGTGAGTGAATCCAACTAAACAAATGTGCAGTGACAAGCGATGTTCTGAGTTAAATCAGTTTGTGCTATTGAAGCCGACAATCTATCAAACCTTACTTGATGCCCTTAAAAACTTTTCTAGAACTTACTTGACTCCTAAAAGTTTAATGTCTCTGAGTCGCCTTCTGCCGACCATCGTATAGTCAACTCTATCTCTTTAATCATATTCATATTCATACAATTTTCGAATTCAAACACTTTCTGACACAGCGGACTAATGAACGAACGTGAACAGTCGTTTAGTGCAAGATTCTTTACTCAAACTAGAACACTTAGAACATCAAGTTTACATCCGTATATCTCGGTCAGCTATACACATTGATGATTAACAAAATCTAACGTCCAATAAATACCAAAAGACAGTTACTCAGTCAAAAACATTTGAGAAAATTTTACGGAAGTGTGACATTCTTCTCACTTAAAGAGAGATTGAAATGTTCATCATATCGTTGAAGTGACATTAATCATTGAACCTTCCTCATAGGTGATGATCAAGCATTTGACCACACCATTTCATGGAAATGTCGGAAAGAAATTGATAACTTGTATGCAGAGGTAGTCCATGTTAAAACGTAAATTTAATAAAAGAGATGGATTTTCATTTTACACAAATTTCATTATCTACTTTTATTTTCAATAATTCAGAGGGATTAATCGTTGTCAAATTGTCTCGTGAAGAAGATAAAGGTAAACATGATTCATGATAAGTGAAATTTGCACAATTACTTCTTTACTCTTTTTGATCACACACTGTTTGTGTGATTCAGTTTTCAGAAAATTAACATGTAAAACTTTGTTACTTTTCAAGAAAATGAGGGTTGAACCAAATGTGAAATCCACTCAACGTTTGATCGAATTAGTTGGGAATTGAAACTCTGTTGACATCGACTAGGAAAAATTTGATGTACATTGACTCTTTGAAAACCTGTGCAGAGATTTATTCTCGTTTAAATGCTTCCATGAAACATGACGATAAATAATTACTTCAAAGAAAATGAATCGTGTTTTATGTTTGTCACAAAGTCATTCCTGTGCACATCATATTCATCTACACCTCCATTCATCACACTGTCATTCCTATATATTATCCTTCTACATTGAGAAATCGTTGAGACTACACATTCAAATCTATTCGACTCTCATCTACAACAAACAAACACTGTAGCCAGAGTTACTTGATCGAGTTAAATATCCATATGTTAGGTGATCAATAAGATTTTCAAGTTGCATTTGTGAATAAACGCTTCACAACTTATGTCATGTATACTTGGAGTTGATTGTTACAAGGAAAATTATAGAAAATATTGCGTATGTGCGATTATATATGCAGTATTAGACCATCAATGATTCAACAGTAATACAATAGTAATACAGATTCAGAAACTCAGCATTTCACACTAGTTTGGAATGATGCATGCTCGTTTTGTTCACATGAAGTTCACTTCAATGTTTCGAGTGCGAATCCGACTGAAGAAAGCATTTGACACAACTCAGTAATTATACACTAAATTTGATCACTTTGTGAGTGAGCATATGCTGTGTTACACCTATCTTTGAAATTCTAAGTATCGTTGGTCTTTTAATTGTAGAGAATACACCCATAATAACTGATCTTTTATATCCGAATGGGAAGATATCTATCTATTTTGAGAACGTAAGTTATAAACTGAATGTACATTTAGTTTTGTTTCAAGTACTTGAGATCATTCTACTATTTCATGCGTATGAATACTGTCGAATGTGTATTAAGCTACACTGAACACAATAGAAAAAGATCAACATTTTGTGATGTATAATCAAACTACTTGACTTTGTATTTATTCTATTAATGACACAGCTCACTCTAGCACTTGTTAAAGAGTGAGTAATTAGAAGTGAAGTGACATCAGTTGTAACAATGATGTGTTCATGTCAAACACTACTAACCAGTGTATGTCAGAATAGTGTATGTAATGTGTCGTATTCTGTCAGACTGTATTTCATCTTCAAATGGTCAGCTTTTCGGTACATTCGATAATGTATCATTTGAGCACAGCTTCAATGAAGCTGTTAACAGTCAGATTTCATTACAACTGACGTAGATTTTCATCTCACAGTGTGTCAGCATATTTCATGATAGACTGATAAATCATCAAACTTGGCTGAAGTTGACAGCTGGCGTGATTAGGAATATCTATGTATACCAGATGGAACACACTTTGAAAGAAAATGAGAATATCATAATACGTAATGTAATTGTGGTTAAGATAATTTGAACAAAGACTCACTTATTTAAATTTGTTTTGATATAAGAGGTTGTGTGCTGACAAATCCTCGTCCCATTTTTGTTTCAGATTCTTTCGGAAATTAACGAAAGAGGGACGGTGTTCGGAATCCAAGGAAGTTTTCAATGTGAAACAGGTAAGAAACTTTGCAAAGAATGATGTTAACATTTGATACACTGTGACGTATAAAATCAATCATCTGTTTGCTGAGGCTCATATAACCGGCTATCTGGAGTAAAGTAACTAAGGTGTATGAATGTTTTTTATCGCAAAATATTGGATGGTGAATAAGAGAAGTTTGGTTTTTGTGGAGATCGATCAACTGAACAAGACAGACATATATGAACGACGAAATTAAGCAGATAAAATATCGTCATGCGTGATAAATAGGTAGCACCTGAAGCTAATGTTTTCCGCACACAATGGTCGATCCTATGTGTTGATGAAATATAAAGCTCAGTTTTCAAGCTGAGTGAATGAGCGGAATACAGTATTACATGATCACATGTGAGAACATGCACTAAATATTTGGTCAAGTGATACATATTGCTCCATTGAAGTGCATTACTGAGTCAGTAAAAAATGATGAAATTTGTCATTTCTATATTGCTCGTTTGAATTCTCCCACCTTTCTCTTATTGATTCATGCGCTTTCTGTGATGATTGCTTCGATGTTGTCATTGGTCACAAGCGTTGTAGGCAAAGATGGATGGTGCTTAGCAGTGGAATCGATTGCCGTCATAAATATCGAACGGAAGATTGAGTTCACAGAGCAGGAATGAAATACGTTTTCACGCTTCGTACAAACCAGTGGGTGTTTGGACTGAATGGTTAGGTGAATATCAGTATGGCGTTTGAGTTCAATGATCCTGGGCTCCGGTCCATCAGTAAACATCAACTCCGAGATGTAGGAATATCCAGCTGAGACTTTTTAAATAAGAAGAAACGCTAGTCATCATTCGTTTTTTATTTGACACTGCCATGTTGTTAATTTGTAAGCTGAAACGTGAAAAATGTTTAAAGGATCGAACTTAAATTTTGTGGTTGTTTCTCAAGAAAGAAATCTCAATGTTAGGTGTTTTCTCTTCTATTTATCATATAAGGTGATACAGAACATGAGATAGCTGTACCTGCAGAATGGATCAAAAATGGCACATTAGTGGAGTATGAAGTCATCGGCGGTATGTTAAACCTTATTTATCATCATTTACTATTTTTACACTTGAGTCCATCCTTTTTATTTCAACACGCTGGAAATTTCATTTGTAACTGCGGTCATCTACTAAATGACGTCCAGGCAACCGTCTCAAAGCACGTTTGACTTACCATTAGTAAATACACGTTGATTCATTTTTAAATATCAAGAATGACAAGTTACCCATTTTGAACGATTATTGAAGTCTTATGGACAAACTCACAAAACGATGTATGAGTTTGTAGTAATCTGGAAAAAGATTAGGTGACAGTTATTTAATTGTGGATTGATCAGGTAGCTTCTGTTTGTCCTTATTGTTACATGTGATATCGAATATTTCTGGAGCATTGAAATCACAAGAACAATCCATGTCATTGCGATTAACATCAAAACGGTTGGCTACTTTACAAAATCTCTGCTTTGTCGTACATATCCGATAAAATGAAGATGAAGAAATGTGACTTCCTTAAACTTATGTTCATCATAGACAGTCTCAGAATTATTGATGTATTTGACATTACGAAATTGATTTCTTTCTCAGGAATATGAACACTCAGTAAATTAAAACAGATTTCAGTTCAACTAAATTCTTCTTAGGAAAAAAATGCAGTGATGATTGGAAAAACAATGTCTATCATCATTTAATGTTCAAGTGAATCACCATGATTGAATTGAATTTTTAGTCTAAGAACAACTGAACTTCCAGCACTGCCTTTGTGAAAAGAAACTGTGCATTGATAAAGCATAGTATGCAGTACGTTTTGCTGAACTCAATGTAAACGTCGTGTGTGTATGTCCGAATGTAAACAGCCATTGAATTCTGTCAAGCTTTCCAGTCGGAATTCATCGTTTTTACTTAATATTGAATTCTGTTTCATTCATGCCGTTGTGGAACATGATTGAATTGGAATGTATACTGAGTATTGCATTGTGCATTGTGATAGCAACTCTCCAGTGAATGAAATAGTCACTTAATACTGAAATCACTATCGTGTCATTGAGTTATAGTTGCATGTATTGTGATTCTCTTTAGTTCTGTTTAAGAATTCGAATTATATAATCACCTTATTACTTTTACAGCAATTTGTCCAATACACCATTCAAGTGAAGCATGTCTGAACGCTACAACATCAAATGTTAAATGTATTTGGTGTCAGAAATGGAACACGTGCATTGACAGTAATCATCAGGATCATCATTTCTTTAAAGTGAATGGTTGCCATTTTAAGGTATGTGCTTAGTCAACTGATTGTAAAATAGGAAGTAGTTGTTCTGAATGATTGTAAAATGCACATTTTCTTAACGTTTGTTGAAATGTATTTTACCACCCTTGTTGACACAAATGCAGAATGAATTTCTCAAGGAATATTTCATGTTTTGTAATGAATGCTACTGTTTCGTCTATTCAAAAAAAGCCCGGATGTTATCGATGTGAGTACATCGACACCCGTCAATCATAAAGGAACAACATTGGGAATTTGTGAAGTTCAGGTTGGTGGAAACCTCAAGGAAACCACCCATTTAACCGATCAATACCCGATAAATATTTGATATTTAGTAATAAATGCTACTGTTTTGTTTTTCTATAGAATGCGACCACTGAAATAACTCAAGAAAGTGGACAGAACAAATCACTTTGGTATCTGTATATAATAATTCCACTGATCGTCTTCATCGCTGCATGTACCGGATATGTTACCTGTAAATATTTGCATTAAAAAAGGAGAAGTAGTGAATGATTCTCAACAAAGTCTCATAACTAAATTCGAATATTCTGACCAATTCTGCCTTTCTTTTTCGTATTTCAATAAACAGTTTTAGATTTCGTTATTCATTTTAATGGTTTGGACTTTTCCTTACGGAACTATGTACCTTTTGTGCTTGTTTATGATATAGCCGATGTATTCTTGTTAATTAAATATCAAACATGATTTATAATATTTGCGTCGTTGTCTTTATTCATCAGAAGCTGACTTTTCTTACGAGAGTTTGACAACACGTTTTTCGGATTTAGTAGTCATGTGTTTACTTTATTTTGTGTTAATTGCAATCAACAATGAGTTTGTTGTGAATGTCCATCGTCATCCTTCGTTACTTCATTATTCATTGTTAAGTTAATGATGAGTGAAAAACCAAGTTTAATTCGGTGTTATCTAGATTGATTGTGATTCTTTAGAATTTCTATTGTTGACAGAAGCAATAAACGGCCATCAATTTCACTCAAAACTTATTCCTCCAAACGAGCTAAAACGGAGTTGTCTTTCTCAGCTTCACAAAGGATACGTTTACTGAGTTGATAGTTTGGTGTGCTAAGTGCTGTTGAAGGATAAGTATCCAGCGTTGCACAATGAATTGCAGTTTTCGGAGCACACATACTTCACGGTTATCAATGAATATATTCAGCCTCATTGTTCCGAATTGTGCTGTGGGGAAATGAATGAGCACACACAAACCTGTTGTATGTGGAATTCGAAATCATAGGCCATCAATTACGAAGAAACCATTAATTCGTAAAATTATCAAAATCTTAACAGTTTAAATAGGATTCCGAATTTCTTTAATGGGTTGTACTTCTCCTTAGGTTTATCGTTCATTTGTTCAGCTATGTTTTGCATATAGACTCTGTGTGACACAGTCATCTGGTTTCTGGAAGCGTATTTGAATAATATGCCCATGTGTATACTTATATCATTGATGTCTGCAATTCGAAGCATGGCTCTTCAAACACTGTTTTCTCCATGAAATAATATTTGATATACAACATTTGATATTAAATCATCCGATGTAATTTTAGGTTGAAATTGATTTTGAACTTGTTTCAGGTTTCCACATTAGGAGCCCCAAAGTGCCATGATACGGCCAAGAGTGATGAGAGTCAGCTCTCTTACATGGCCACGTGCGCACATCCTCAGTTAAGGACGTCCTATTTCTTGATGTCTCGAGAGTAGGCGAGGACAAAATGCGAATTGCTGGCGAATAAACCATGTTGTTGGATATGGAGTAGCCACATAAAGGAATTGGAAAATCCTGAGTACTAATCAATGGTGCACATAGGCTCTGAGATTCGGAGTGAATAATTGACGTGTGAATCAATTATGAGTCAGCTACTTGTGGTCAACTCCGTGACTGGCTTTGCAATTACTCTAATATCTGTTATTCGCATCACATCTGAATGACTATGTAACGTGGTGGAATTGTAAACTTCTTCATGAAATGTTTGTCTTCCCAGCACTCAAATTTAGTACACAATACATGATTTAGTAGTATGACAGCTGATCAGGAAAGCAAAGCAGGCTCGTTTGTTAATGCCGAGGATTCTAGTTAGTTGTAAGACAAATTCTTTATATCTGTTGATCAAAAACTTCAGAAGTTGAATGTGTGAAAACCTGTATGCTGCGTATATTTTGTTCGTTCTTGACCTTACTACAAGTTTACTTTGTTCTCTGAGATGAACACATCTAGTGGGAAGAAAATGATAAATTATATTGGGTCCAAAATCATTTCTTTGTATTCTGTGCATCGAAATCAGGTCACATCTCCGTCTACGATAAGACACAGTAAATAGGTCTTGTATTTCAGTGCTCTCTTTTTGTTGTAAACATCGGAGTTCTGAAATCGCACGGGTAACTGCACTCAGCATTTTTTGCAGGTCAAGTTTTAAATAAGAACCTGCAGCGTCAATCCATTTTTCAGGCTTATTTCTCACGAAGGTTGTGTATACTGTGGTGATCATGTTGGTATCTAACTCGGAGAATGTCCGTCTTAAAACCCACAGTGTTGTAAACGTCTTAGCTGCAACTGCATGGCAACGATCGGTGGTCTTCAGTTGATGACTTCGGTCACTCCAAGATCCTTCTGGAACCGATCTACAGGTACAGGCAATTTCCTTATGCAGTATCTATTCAACTTTGCATTTCAAAACATTGAAGTGAAATTCATGTGAATGAAACGAGAATGCATCATTCCAAACTAATGTTAAATGCCCAGTTTCTGAATCTGTATTACTATTGTATTACCACTGAATCATTGAAGGTCTAAAAATGCAAAGGTATCTGCACGTACGCAATAGTTTCTATAATTTTCCTTGAAACAATCGACTCCAAGTATGCATGACATAAGTTGTGAAGCGTTTAATCACAAATGCAACTTGAGAATCTTATTGATCACCTAACATATGGATATTTAACTCGATCAAGTAACTGTGACCACAGTGTTTGTTTGTTGTAGATGAGAGGCGAATAGATTTGAATGTGTAATCTCAACGACTACTCAATATGAATGGGTCATATATACAGGAATGACTATGTGATGAATGGAAGTGTAGATGAATATGATGTGCATAGGAATGGCTTTGTGACAAACATATAATACGATTCGTTTTTTTTTTGAAGCAACTATTTTTCGCCAAGGTTTATCGTAGCTTTTAAACAAAAATGAATCTCTGCATTTGTTTCACAACAGGCGAAATGAAATTTTGACTTTATCTATCTATGGTGATCAATTTTTGACTTTTCAGATCTCAGTCTCATATGTGTTGACTTACGTGTACCATTATCTTCTCCTTCATGAGATCATTTGACAGTTAATAATCCATCTAAATTATTGAAAATGCGAAAATAGATAATGAAATATCTGTGAAATGAAAATCCATCTCTTTTAATAAATGTACTTTGTAACCCGGACTACCTTTGCACACAAGTTATCTGTTTCATTCCGACATTAACATGAAATGGAGATGTTTCAAGGAATAATGTCGCTTCAATGGTATAATGAATTTTTCAATCAACTGACTTCGGTAAAGTTACTTCAAGTCCGCCCAAATTTGTCCAATGATGTTTTTTTGACTGAGTAAGAGTAATTTAACATCTATCTGACAATAGCCTAAAATAATCATTTTCTGAGAGTCAGTTATTCATCGGTTTGAACAGCAGACCGAAGTGAATATACGTAGACTTGATGTTCTAGGTTATTTGAGTTCGAGTAAAAAATTGTGTACTGGGGGACTGTTCATGGTTGTTCAATATTCAGCTCTTTCATAAAGTGCCTCGAATCGGAGATCATAATCATACGAATATGATTACGGAGATACAGTCGAATCAAGTATGTACCAAGTAAGTACTAGTAGAGTATTGGATGTTAACAAATATGATTTGATATTTTGTAGGCTTTACTAATTCAAACTGACTCCACTCAGAACATAGCTCATTGCTACAAATTTGTTCCGTTTGATTCATTCAGTGTACAAAGAAGTGTCGTAGCGATGAGATATCAATTATACGAAATGAATTTGAGAAAAGGAAACAAAACAAACTGCAACTGAATAATAAAAGAACCCACTCTCATTTAAAATATCAAACTCAAGCATTGAGATGTCTTTTTAATTCATTTGAGATTCGTCCGTAGTGCATTCTGTTTTCATACTTAAGTATCTGACCTTTAATATTAATAAAGAAAACATGCAAATTGATTGATGATTTCACATTGAATGGATAAATGAATTCGAATAAGACTGAAGATTTAAAAGAACTCCATGGGCTTAATTGAATCAGCTATAAGACGTCACATCAAAGACAATTTGAGGAAAAGGTTCGGCATGTTACAAAGAGCAAGCGACTGATTCACTGAAGAAATTGAATCAACTTTGATTCATGAGATTAATTTGTGATCAAGAAAACTCAATAACAATTTTAGATCGAAGAAAATTATGGACTTACCATCAGAAGAATCATCAAAGTAACTGACTTGACTTTCGTGATATTTCAACGGGATTTCTAGTCTAATGTACCGAAAAGATGTAAACATATAGCTAGCGCCTCCACCACAAAATGTATTTCCATCCGACCGAATCCTTTAAAACTGTCAATCACAACGTGATGAGGCTGATTGAGACTAATTGTTTGTCAGTAATGATGAGACTGTATATGTCTATTAGAATCTGACTGATTACTTATATATTGATATGAATCATTCTTTGAAATCACTTGTTTGAAGTCCTTCCGATCCGGGTGTTGACAGATTTCGTCGCATTTACAGAACTCGGAAAACAAGTTCAAGATCATAGAAATTCGTATGAACAGATCATATGGAGAATTGAATCTGAAATGATTCAGGTGAATAAAAGAA